TTAATGTCATTTACATTAATAAACAAATTTAAAGTGAATTAATATCAATTGCATTAATACACCGGCCAAAAGTGCAATAATGTCGAAAGAATTGTGGAAATAATGCCAGAAATGTTAAACATCATGCAAGCTTTAGGGGACGTGTAATAAGGCGCGGCGGAAATAACGTCCATGGACACTATTACTTATCGTCCATAGACAATAGCATTACCTTTTCGAAAGCGCAGTATAATCCATGGACATTATTGCTCTATCAAAAAATATTACCAAAATACTCTTCTAATATACTACATATTTACTATGATCATATAAAGAGTTCACAACGTGTTGTATACTGTCGTTTTGTTGGTTCTGGTTATCAGGTTATGTGGCTATATTTTTTATTCAGTTTACTACAATAGTTTAGAAGTGCGCGCTACCACTCCGCAAGGCCTGGGTTCAAGCACTGGTCAAAGCAAAATCGCAAAAAATATAGAAAAAAGGTTTTTCTTAGCATCGGTCGGCAGGCAATGGAAAACCTCCGAGTGTAGTTCTGCCTTGAAGAAAACATAAAACCATAAAACCAAATCGCCGTTCGGTGTGGGCGTAGAACTGTAGGCTCTCCCCTTTGTGTGACAACATAAAGGCGCATGCCACAAATCGGAGGAGAAGCTCGGCCAAACACTAATATATGTATAAACGCCAGTGTATTATTATTATCAGGGAACGGATTTTATGAAAATTGCCTTTTTTCTGATAAAGAGATAGAGTATATTCGACTAAGAATGTCAACGATTTAGCTTTCCCTGATTCCATATATATACACTTGAGGTTGCATTTTTTCCCTTTTTTAAGTTATTTGCCGAAGAGAAAGCCCTTATTCCTGATAATATAAAAGTTTCAAATGTTCCATATTTAAATTGGGCGCCACTTGTATCAACTCACGTCGAGTACGTTTAGTACATTCATTGCTGTGTTAAGGCCTGTTCTGTTATACAAAAATTCAAGTTGATAAAAAAAGAAGTAATAATTGGTCATATGAAAATACGCAAATTTTTTGAAGTGAGATTTCTTTAGCGGCGGTTGGTTGGGTGGGAGTAAATTGGCAAATTCAGCGGAAATTGCACACGGAAATGGTGCAACGGAAATGGTTGGGGCTGAAACAAGTACTTCTTGTGTGTATGCATATGGTATGGATTTAACAAAAACTTGCTAATAAAAGGTTCGAGGATAACACTTAGAAATAACAATACAAGAATGAAAGTAAAGGTGAGTACGTACATAGATAAAGAAATTTATAAAGGCAAAGGTAAAAACAAAAACAAAGATGTGTAAAGATAAAGGTAAAAACGAGGACCAAGGTAAATTTAAACACTTTACTTATATATATAAGGGCAAAGGTGAAGGGGAATATGTTGACGAAGAAAATGATAAACATAAAAGTAAAAACAAATATGAGGATGAGGATACCGATAAAAGTAAAGATGAAGATAGGGGAAGAAAAATTAAAATAAAGGTAATTAAAGTTGAAAGGATATAGGGAGAGACACAGAGACTCAGTCTGGGAACTATTTTGGGATTTTAGAGATATTCGAGATTCTCGAGACTTATCGATTAAATAATCGATATTTTTATCGGTTTTGTTATCGATATTTATCGATTTTATTATCGATATTTATCGATTTTGTTATCGATGTTTACCGGTTTTTTTATCGATATCGATAACTATTGATTTTTTTCTCGTTATATATCGACTTTGTTAGCGATGTTTATCGATTTTGTTATCGATTCTTATCGATTTTGTTATCGATATTTATCGACTTTGCTATCAATTTTGTAATCGATATTTATCGATTTTGTTATCGATATTTATCGATTTTGCTACCGTTATTTATCGACATGGTTATCGATATAAATCGATTTTGTTATCGATATTTATCGATTTTGTTATCGATGTTTATTGATTTTCTAATCGATTTAGCTACCAAAGGTATTATCGATGTTGCTATTGAAATTTTTATCGAATTTGTCTTCGATTTTGTTATCGATATTTTGATGGACGTTATATCGATAGAGTATGAAGATAAAAATGAAGATAATGGGAAAACAGAATAACATGAATGTTATTAAAACGAACAGTGGTAGAGGTGGGGATCTACATTGATAGAAAAAAAGCGAAAAAATATAACCTTAAGCAAAAGCAGATGTGTGTATGTATAGATAGATAAGTAACGTAAGTTTCACTTCCACAGTGTGGCCCAGGCGCACTTACTTTTTTTTACCTTCCTTTTATTAGCTCGGGATGAAACTATGTAATATTGATGCGCCTAAAAGGTGCAGCGATTTCTATTCTCAAGTTACATACCTGATGACAGTACGAATGGCAATAATAATGGGAAGGTTTTAGTTTTTTAAACTACAATTTTTTTATGTATGAAAAATGAGCAGGAACGAATGTTACTCATACGCCATGTCCACCTGCAATTATCTCGAAAACTTATCTATAGAATAAAAAATTTACTCGATTTTCGGAATCAGCGAGAAACTCTATGTAGAAATTGGATAGTGGCGTCCGCTGAATATGTTTCCTGTAAACCAGTGTTATTTTTAGTTTTTTGTCTCTTTTAGTGCCTTTTTTGCTATTTCTAGAGCCTGCCTATTTCGCTATTTTATTTTGCCGTTTTATAGGTTTTTAAGTCCTAAAAATCCTCCCCTGATTATTATTATTATAGGTAAATTATTTGTAACCAGATAATATAATAACCAAGCAAGTGCGAACACTAAGGTGGTCCAAAATTGCATGTGAAAAAGTAAAGTCGGAATTTTTATGCTCTCACCACCTAGGATTGTTCTATTCCGAAAAAATATACCCTTTTTTATTTTGAAATCAAAAAATATTTAGATGTCGATCAAGGCGCCCAAAGTTTTCCATGTATTTTATATGGGGGAAAAACAACTTTTCGTAAAAATGGTATAGAATAGATAAAAGTCAATGTTTTCTACCAGAAAACTGTTTATCTGCAGAAGATTCCCAATAATAGTACCCAAGTGCTTACTTAATTTATAGGTCCGCGAAAATCCCCGAAAAATGTAATGGGGCGACCAATATAAAATCGTTAGTATTAAACAATGGTTAAATAAACAATTGGATATTACTATTGAAAGTCTCCTAAAGAGAACCACAGTTTTCTGATCGAAAAATATTGACTTTCAAGAATTCTATACCATTTCTACGAAAAAATATTATTTTTTCCATGTTAAAATACATGGAAAACTTTGAGCGCTTTCAGCGACCTCTAAATATTTTATGATTTCAAAATAAAAAAATAGGGGTATACTTTTTTTCGATATAGAACAATCCTAGGGGGAGAGGGCATTATAATTCCGACCTTACTGTTTTTGGACCACCCTAGTGAACACACTAAGTGATTTTCTTGAACATTTAAAACTGAAATGTGTATGTACATATTTTAAGAACGAATTGACTTACAGTGATTAAGTACTAAGTATATATACAGATTCTATCAAAAAAGGCTAGCATAAATCCAAAATATGTAACTACATACATATGTATGTATATGTAGTTATTGGCACAGGTATTAACAGATAAGTGATGAAAATGAGGATTGATTTTGAGTTTGCCAGTTTTTTCTACAAAAATAATATATATTGGCAGAAGCAATAGATGCTATTTAGAAGATATCGTCTTCGTCTCATGAGGTTTCATCTTTGATTTGAACCGTGGACACTTAGCGCAAAAGCATATAAACTGTTGTTCTTTCTTCCAGTTTTTCAATTACAAAACAAAATAGTTATGTACTTTTGAGTGTAATTGAAAAACTGGAAGAAATAACAACAGTTTATATGGCTTTTTACACTAAGTGTCCACGATTGAAATCAAAGATGAAACCGGATGAAAAGAAGTGGATACCTACTCAAAAATTATGTATGGGTCGATTATCGATAGCAACCGAATTTCAGTTGCGTTGCTAGTTGCCAAAACGATATTACAGATGGCAACTGACATTTCTCAACTGGCAACTGCAGTTGCTACAAAGTGTGTATACAGGCAACTAAATTTGTATAGTTGCTGGGAAGGTTTTTGGAGCGTATTTACGAGCGAATTACGATTGAAGAGTATGCCATAAATTTTACATTTATTAACATTTTGCAATGCAGTTTGCTTTTACAGAATATGGTGCAAATAACAAAACAATAACTTAAAATTAAAGTTTCCGTGAAATACACGCTTTTGGCGAAACAAAAGGAAACACATATTTGCAAGTTTTTTCCTTTATCAACTGAAGCACCTCTTTTAAGATTACCGACGCACCAAGTTTCCAAAATTTAAGTGAATGCTGTGGCACTTCCTGCGAAAAATCCAAGAGGTGCGCAAGCTTTTAGGAGCGGAGGTATTGTAGCTGAACGAAGTCGTTCCTCTGTTTATTAACCAATTATACTACAGCTTCTGGAATTAGCTTTAAGTTAACACAAAACGATAATAAAAGAAAAACCTTGAAAGCATTAACTGTTGCTTACAGGGCAGGCGGTAGCTCTAGCTCTAGAATTTGAATTACCCTTAAAGTGTCCCCTGATTGAGACNCAAAACGATAATAAAAGAAAAACCTTGAAAGCATTAACTTTTGCTTACAGGGCAGGCGGTAGCTCTAGCTCTAGAATTTGAATTACCCTTAAAGTGTCCCCTGATTGAGAGTGCGTTAGTGCACTTCTCTTTCTCTTAAACAAATAATTGTGCTGAGCTTAGCTTTATTGCTGACTTTTCTTTAAAACTCTTCATTTTAATAATTTGATTTTACTCGCACAGCTTGTTTACAGACACTTGCTGATTGCCCAACTGTCAAATTTCGATTATCGAGTTGAAATTCGTAATACAAATTTTCTTTCCAGCTGGCAACCGAACCGCGGTTGCGTTGCTATCCGTAATCGACCCATAAAACTTCGATTATTATTAAATCACATAAACAAAAACAAAAGCAGGGGGGTTTTTAGTTATACTCAACAGTACAAATGCCGGCGCCCACTTCGTTCCACCATTTATTCTTCATTTTCTCCAATGATCCCTGTTCTTGCAATTGAAGTAGCGCATTGTTGAATCTGTCTCGGTAAGGCCAATCTAGTGTACAGTTAAGCATATGTATAATAATATAAAAATAGTTAAATACATACATAATGTACATAAATATCTGCTCACTTTTTCGCATAGCTATTCCATAGCCTTTTTCATCCAATGCATCGCCAACTTTCCTTAAATGGCATAGCCGCATCGTATTGTATTCAATTGAAGTAGACTCCATTAAGAAAGCGTAGGTCATGTCCACGCGGTTCACACCCTCCATGTTGTCATTGGTCAACAGCTCTGGATGGCTATTTAAAAATTTGTTCATTTTTATATGCCGTGGATCCTCCGATTTCTGGGTGGTTCATTAAAAAGTCAATTCTGGATTATTTGTTTCATCTTTCATCAATAATCAATAACAAGTAATTTTTAAGCAAAAACCAGACTAGTTGGGACCACCTCTAAGACACTACCTTTCCGATGCCGAATTATCGAAATCGGTTGACGTGGTCAAAGGTTATGCGTTAACATACATAAAAAAGATAAAAAAATATAACTCCTCCTTTTTTGGAAGTCGGTTAAAAACATAAACAACCGAGCAAAGACCAAATAAAGATTTCATCAACGGTTCATACCATTCACATACCATTTTTTTTTCCTAAAAAACGAAAGCTACAAATTTTTTCTTTCCACAACAAATTTACGACAAAAAAAAAAAACTACAATTAATTCCGTTGAAACCTTTTCAATATATCAATTCAGTTGTCAATGGTGCACTACATACTAAATTTTGTTGGAAAAACGGTCAACTCAATTTTTTTCCAGAAAAACGAAAGCTTAAAAATTTTTCTTTTCACAACAAATTTACAACAAAAAAGCGGATTTGCCGCTATGAGCCATATCAAGAATATTCATTAGAAAACTTCTTCTCTTCTTTATTGGCGCTGTAACAGCCTAAGCGCTTTTGGCCGAGTCCAAAACAGAACGCCAGTCATTTCTCTTCTGTGCTAACTGACGCTAATTGGAAATGTCAAGTGAAGCCAAGTCCTTCTTTGAAGATATTTTGAAAAATTTTTGCACACGCTTGTAATCTAATATTTCCTTCATTATCTCATTAAATCATCGAAATCGGTTCACTCTAAAATCTAGCTCCCATAAAATTGATTGTCCAGAAACGTCGTTTTGCGTTATGACTCTTCCAATTAAGCAGGTAAAAACTTAGTGTAGGTTCACTTTAACATATAGCACGCATACAATTTATTATTCAGATATGAAGTTAGATTTATAGCGCAAAAACACATGTCTGAGTAATTAGTTGTTTTGGAGCTATACGTTAAAGTGCGCCTATTTCGATAATTTTAAGGAATAATGAAGGCAATATTAAAAAACCGTTATGTGCAAAATTTTAGTCAAATAGCTTCAAAACTGAGGGAGCTATTTATAAAATAGTTAAAATTTAATCAAATTTTCAAATACCGTTATCTCTCAGTTGTTTTGGTGTTATACGTTAAAGTGCGCCTATTTCGACAATTTTAGGCAATAATTAAGGCAATATTAAGAAACCATTATGTGCAAAATTTTAGTCAAATAGCTTCAAAACTGAGGGAGTTGCTTATAAAATAGTTAAAATTTAATCAAATTTTCAAATACCGTTATCTCGAAAACCGGAGCCAATCTGGTAAAACGGGGGATGCCATTGAACGTAAAACGTCCCAATTAAGTGAGTTCAACTTTCAAAATCTTTGCTCAAAATTTACAACTTGAACAACGTAATTTGAATCCAGNTTTTTGCACACGCTTGTAATCTAATATTTCCTTCATTATCTCATTAAATCATCGAAATCGGTTCACTCTAAAATCTAGCTCCCATAAAATTGATTGTCCAGAAACGTCGTTTTGCGTTATGACTCTTCCAATTAAGCAGGTAAAAACTTAGTGTAGGTTCACTTTAACATATAGCACGCATACAATTTATTATTCAGATATGAAGTTAGATTTATAGCGCAAAAACACATGTCTGAGTAATTAGTTGTTTTGGAGCTATACGTTAAAGTGCGCCTATTTCGATAATTTTAAGGAATAATGAAGGCAATATTAAAAAACCGTTATGTGCAAAATTTTAGTCAAATAGCTTCAAAACTGAGGGAGCTATTTATAAAATAGTTAAAATTTAATCAAATTTTCAAATACCGTTATCTCTCAGTTGTTTTGGTGTTATACGTTAAAGTGCGCCTATTTCGACAATTTTAGGCAATAATTAAGGCAATATTAAGAAACCATTATGTGCAAAATTTTAGTCAAATAGCTTCAAAACTGAGGGAGTTGCTTATAAAATAGTTAAAATTTAATCAAATTTTCAAATACCGTTATCTCGAAAACCGGAGCCAATCTGGTAAAACGGGGGATGCCATTGAACGTAAAACGTCCCAATTAAGTGAGTTCAACTTTCAAAATCTTTGCTCAAAATTTACAACTTGAACAACGTAATTTGAATCCAGCTTTGTTTTCTATTTCATGTTTATTCCTCGTCTAACTTTTGAAGCACTTGATGAAAATGAGTTACACTTATATTAATCGATTTATTAAGAGAATACGAATAAAATGAGATGAGAGTGAACCTATTTTTTAGATTTGCCCATATACATTCTAAATATACAATAACACCATTTGCCGTTCGGAGGTGGGGTAAAACTGTGTGTCCCTCTTCTTCGTGTACTCCACAAATGGGGGAGAAGCTCAGTCAAGCCAAAATACCAAATACGTAAGCGCCAATATTTATTTATTTACATATTTTAAAATCCTTACCTCGAAAAACTCTCTTGTTGAACCGACCTTTCTTGCACCATACAATACGCCATGCTTATTTTCAGCAAGATCGTCTATAGAATCAATCAGGCTAGTTGGGTTTTCGATGGTTAAGAAAGCGGCCAAGTTAGCAGTATAGGATGAAACCATAAGCAAAGTGAAAAACCACCAAAAATAAGCGACAGTGCGTGTTGAAATGGCCCTAGAACGTGGATACAAAGACAATTAGTTCTTACACGCAAAATCACAACCATGTTTTTGCATATCGCTAGCTTAGAGTGAAATGTCGCTAAGTCCACTTTTTATGAAAACTCGTATTTTGATAGTGGCGGCTAGATAAATTAAAAATGCATCGTTTCGAAAAGAGTTAAGTTCCTTGTTTTATGTTTTCTCGTTTATATTCAATGAAAAGAAAATTTGCTAAGTCCAAGATAGTACGAAATCTTTGAATAAAGATCGAATCCCTCTTTTTTGCTTTGTTTTAAACAGGTAAAATGTTGTATTAAAAGTTTTGCAAAATACTTGAAGAAAATGCCTATAAGAAGTTTTTTCCTCTCATGTACAATTTTTAATTTGAGACTTAGCAACTTTTCACTCTAAGCAGTACATACACACATATTTAAGTCGCATGCTTACTCACTAAAAACTCAACAGCAATAAAAATAAATAAGCAGGATTAAAAAAATAGCAATATAATTTTCTAGGATCAATCAAAATGCTCGAAACTATAAAAATACATTGATTACATGCGATTTAAGTATTATTTATGCCGGTTCAGATTCTTTGAATTCCTAAATTATTCTTTTTAATCGCTTGCCCTGTTTGGGTCCAATCTAGTAATTACAGAAAAAAAAAAAAAATTGCATCTGAATGTATCTGTATGAATCTGTGTGAAGGTGGAAACTGATAATATGGTATTTTACTGTTGCGACAATACCAAGAATGCGATGAGAGTGTTTTGATAAGTAGTTTCCACATTGCTTAGTACAAATTGTTTATCTTTTGGGACAGCATCGTCTTACTCGTACTAATTGTGAAGCATATTCATATTCAAAATATAGTCGATGCAACTTTTTTGACAGATATTCTGTTGAAAATTATGTCAAAAGGCTGCAATTATGTATAGAATCGGTATTGGGTACCGAAAAGGAAGTATTGGGTACTGAAATCTTTCTGAAGTATTGGGTACTGAGTATTGGGTACCGGCAATTCAGCACATCACTAGTCTTGACTCACAACGAGCCTAGCGTGCTTCCGAAGTACGCTACACTTTTCCACCCAAATACGTTGCGCGCCAAGAGAAAAACTCCGGAAATTTTCCTCTCTTTATAACTTTTTAAGTCTTTTTACAAATTATGAAATATAAAAGAATAATAGACTAAAAGACATCGTAAAGCGGTTGAGAAATAAACTTTGTTTTAACAGTTACTAGCTTTTACCCGCGGGTTTCACCCCACGCCATAAGGAATTAAAGGGGTCATGTGACTTGTGATTCCGAAGTTATAACTGGTAAAATATTCCACGTTTATGTTAAGTGATACGCCGCTAAACAAACTCATTTATGTATACCTTACTATAAGCACCTACCATAGATATCATGTGACTTGCGGTTCCGAAGTTAGAGCTGATTAAATAATTACCGCCAATTTTTCCCCATGAGTATGGAATTTATTTTATTTATCTCGACAGCAAGTTCCAATGCTCTACCACAAATATTTCAAGAGATATACAATATGAAAATTTTAGCTAGTATAGGAGGTGCCACGCCCACTTTTCCAGTTTCTCTATGCCTATAACCTTCCCGGGATAAAAGCAAATAAGTGTGCAAAGTTTCGGGCGATTCCGTGCCGCGGTTCAGAAGTTATAAGGTAATAAACAAACAGACATTCACATTTATATATATAAATTAATAAATGTTACAAATAATTTTGAATGTCGAAATAAAATATAACAATTAGTTGTTAAGCGAAAAACACACAGCGAGTTCAATGCTCATACAAAAATTTTGGTAAAATTTGGAACTTAACCACCCTGGAGGTACCAGTTTCGAAAACAGTTCACGTGTTCCAAAGTTATCTGGTAACATACCCCAAAAAGATTCCAACGAATTGAAGTTTTTTTTTAATTCGGTTAAAAAAGTAAGAAAACATCTTTACGTATTTTAAAAATTAAATGAAAATAAATGTATAAGATTAGAAATAGAAATGTTTATAATTTAATCTGATATTCATATAGAAAAATCTGTGTTTGGCTTATTCCGTTTTGAAATGGCTTAATTTTAAATGTTTTTACTGTGAATTTGACAGACACATGCAATAAGAAGTATCACAAGTAATTTTTAAGAAAAAAAACCGACTTCAACTCTCATATAAAATATATATATATATATATATATATCTCATGATCCACTGATCGGATCTTAACGAGATTAGTATGGGACCACCTCTGAGACACTACCTTTCCGATGCAAAAAGAAATGGGTTGAGGTGGTCCAAAGTTATGCGGTAACACACATAAAAATAAAAAAAAATAAATACATAAATAAAAAAATTTTCTGACGAACTGATAACCTCCTCCTTTTTTGGAAGTCGGTTAAAAATTAACAGCGGGTTCTTTTATTATTGAGGTTGATGATTACGAACCTAGAGCATGACTTTAAAAATTCATAACGGCGAGCCCAATATGGCGGCCAAAAAAAATAAAGCCGATCCGATTCGATTGACAAATTTTCCTCTGGGGTTCTTGAAAAAATTCAAAATGGCGGACCCAATATGACGAAAAAAAATTTAAATCGATTAGATTCGCTTAAAACTTTACAATGAAGAGTACTTAAGGTCTCTGTTTACGAATCTGAAATCAGATTTAAAAAATTCAAATGGCGCATCAGTTTGACAACGCCGGTAATCTTCTGTGGCTGTGTCTATCAGGGAGCTTTTCCTAAGCGGCTGGACTCATGTATTTGAGTGGGTTCCTGGATGGTTTAGATTCACAACTGTTGCCGATATTTGGTGCTACGGTTGAGTTTTGGGTTTTGATGTTCATTTTTATCTTTTCGGACACCGTATATCAAACCATAAATCATCGTTTAAAGTGCAAAACCGCGTATCAGCAAAATGTAAAACCGCGTATGTGAAGTTGTAGAAATTATTTTCTACAGCGTAAAAGCACTCATATTTCAAAATGGTTCTCTTTTTTTTTATAAAGCAATCGCATATCTGCCTAGTATATTTCAGGACGAATGGATAAGGATTGAGCCAAGAGCTTGTGAGAGCAAATCCAATTTTTGGCAGCCAATGTCAGTTAAGCGGTTTTGCAGGATAACGATACGCGGTTTTGTACTTTAAACGACGATATGTAACTCAAAAATTTAAACTAACAAGGGCTGGGATTTTTTGTATATCCGAATATACGAATTGTTTCAACCGTACAACCGACTCACCACCCTGAATTAATTTTGAATCAAAATTATTAGTTAATTAAGAATTGAACATTTAAACTTTCCGAAAATAATTCTTATATTTTTTTTATCATAGTAAGCGCTGATTTCAAATTACATATGCAGCATCTAACCTATCAATGAACACATGCATGAGTAACTTAAACCGTATAGGCCTTTTGATACTTAAATTTATATTCGTAGTGTTTCTATATAAATGCATTCTTATTTAGTGTATGTCCTTCGGCTGTTTTATATAGATAATCAAAATAAACTATTTGGTAACCATTTTGGTCGCGGTTTTCAAATCTTCTACAACTTTGGCACTTAAATATGCCAAGTATTTTCAACAGAAATTGTTGAAAAATGGCGAAAACCGTTACAATGTACCAATTTCATTGATTGCAATCAAAACCTTCTACAATATTGTAGATTGTAATTTTTACAATCAAAGTAAAAGCAATCAGTTTTGATCGCAATTAAATAGGTTACACCATGAAGTATGTATATTTTTCGATTGCATTCCAATTTTATTGCAACTCTTTACAGCTCTGCCCCGTTGACAGAGAATATCCTAGATGCATATGTACATACTAATGGCAAAAATCCCTAATGGGTTGTTGAGAAATCTCTTTCTACGAGATTTGGATGGGTGGTTATTTTCCTGCCTAAAGTGCTGTTTTCAGTTCTCAAGCAAAACGAAAACTTCGTATAAAGTGACGAACAAGAAATGGAAAACAATTTTCTTCTATCAAAATTTCTTAAATCCGTTTGAAGCTCTTAAGAAAAAAAATTCGTATATTTATTCAGGGTTCGTATTTGCACACACATGCTCTGCTCACACACACGCCAGAAACACATTCAACTTGCACTCACTGCTCATACACATGTGTGTGCATAAGTGGAAAACAAACTCTACTCACAGAAAAGTGTGTGCTGTTTGTTATTAAGCACATGCACATGTGTGTGAGCCGATTTTTGTACAAATTTCAGCCCATGCACATGCACATAATATATTCCATGATAAAAATATAGTAAGGTATAACCGCTGAGAGTCACTTTTAAAATTCTTGACGTTTCCAAACAATTTAATTTTTAAATTTACTCACAAACTCACACACACATTTTCATTTTCAATCTCAAGCAACAACAATTTCGAACAATTTCAATTTTTTATTTTCACTTTTATATGATTTTAAAATGTTGGCAAACTTCAAAAAAAAATCATGGCCGACAAATTGAGAGAACGGTTCTACCTTGCTATGTTTTTATCATGATATATTCTTAAAAGAATTTGTTTATTAAACGTTATTTTTTGAAAAACAATTCAATAAAAAGTGAGATGTTGTTTGTTTTTTATATGACAGAAAACATATTAAAAAATTATTTTAAGATTTGAGTTAGAATTCGAAGTGTATAAGTTTCTCTACGCATAGCACACACATGTGCGTGTGCTTTACATTAATAAAAAGAAAGTACACACATGTGCCCGTGCTTTTTACCAAACGGCACACACATGTGATGTGAGCAAATTTTTAATTTTTTATATGCACAGCACACGTGTGTGAGCTTAAAATGTTAGGATGTGCTGCACATGTGTGTGCAAATACGAACCCTGTATTTATTTCTTCAAAAAAAATTACAGCAAAAGCTAAGTACATTTTCAAGCGACAGAAATAATCAGCCTTATCATGAGTTTCATTTTCTCCGAACCGGTTCTCTTTTCACTTTCGGTTTCCATGGTTTTACTATGGGCGGATGACAAATTTTCGGGTGATTTGTTTTCAGGCGAAACTCAGGATAACATAGAACGAAAAATATTTCGTGTGATTTTTCTTGAGAGCTGGATTCTAAGCTTAAAATTGAAGTACGTTAATTATTCAGGATACATAGCTGAAGTAAAAAAATTTATGTGGGGTTTTAAATAAAATTAATGGCGCATAATCATAGTCAAGAAGAAGTAGGCTCTCAATTAGAGCGCATGTTTTAAAGTAATCTATAGATTAAGTGTATCATAGGCAGCTTTTCGCTTAGAGTCGACTCTAAAGTTAGAGTGACGAACAGCTGTTACTAAGGCGGCATTTGTCGGTATTTTTTAACCGACTTCCAAAAAAGGAGGAGGTTATCAGTTCGTCGGAATATTTTTTTTTTATCTATGTTACCGCATAACTTTCGACCACGTCAACCGATTTCGATAATTATTTTTGCATCGGAAAGGTAGTGTCTCAGAGGCGGTCCCATACGAAACTGGTCATCACGAAAACGATCATCGGATCATGAGATATATTTTTTTTATATGAGAATTGAAGTCGGGTTTTGTCGGTTTTTGCTAAAAATTAAATGTTTGTGAAAATTCTTTTTATGGATAGCAATAAAACGGAATTTCGGCATTAAAAAGGACCAAAAATTATAAGGAATGTCGGAAGAGCATTTATGACTGTTGATCGAAAATTGAATTGTAGATTAATCTTCGACAAAACAATCATAATTTCGATTATTTTGAATTACGTTATAAGTTTTAAGCAATTCTATTTTTAATTTTATGTACCTTTATTTTGTTAAGTTGGCTGCGACGTAGTAATTAACCGAAACAAACTCAAATATCAGGGTTGCACGTTGACATAAAGTGGGACATAAAGTAGCTAATTTATTATTTTTGTAATAGAACTTTGAGTTAAACCCGGTTTTTTTTTTTTTAAATAGCACTAAACTGACTATGATACTCATGAAAATAAAGTGGGTTCCATGGTACAATTATAACAGGTATTGTCTTCCCAGAAAGCGCATATTCCGATATGCCTTATTTGAAAAAACATCATAGTTGTCCACATTTAAGAGTTTACTGTATAAGTATTTTTTTTTTATAAACCTTCTTCCAGAGAACATATCGCACGTTTAATAATAAAGAGACGTAACTCAAAATCTAGGTTTTTGGAGATTTCATTACGCAATTAATAAGTAGAATATGTGCAGTCTAATAGATAAGCAAACTTCCCAAATATGGCGAAGATATATGTCTTCCATCTATCTTTTCGTATACCAAATGTATGAACTGATAAAACTTTGATTGCGTTTTCCCACAAAATAAAAATTTTGAAGTACTTTGTTATATTATTAAACGTACGATATGTATTGAATTTGTAAAAGACGAAAAATTAACTATTTGCTAAGTAAACAAATTCAAAATTTCCCTCGCTCTCTTTATTTCAAACGTTTTTTCTTTAATTTTGAGAAATTATAAAAATTAAATTGAGCGAAAACAAAGCCGACTAAAAGTAAAAGAATCGACATTGAATCGCGTTAAAATGAAAATACGGTAGGACGAATTTCGATGTAAAGCAAACTCTATGGGATGACAATACCTGTAATAATTGTACCATGGTGGGCACTCATTTTTTAGTATTACCCTAACTACATATGTAAATCTGGCTCTAACCTAGGAGTATGATTATGCCCCAATATTTTTACATACATACGTAGATAGGTAAATACATACATACATAGATGTATATCATGTGTATATATGCAGACATAACGTGCCGTTTTTACTTACTTTGGCTCCATTTCCGAACCTTGCTGTAGTAAAGCACCCGTAGTAAACCATAATGAGTTGCCAATTGTAAATTGATTTACTAGTTCGGTCGGCTCTTCAATGCATGGGTAGGGATTATCCCATTCAGAAGGTGAAAGACGTCCTAATATGAAAAAGCTGAATGCCACCAGGAGGAAGGACAGTCCCAAAAGCCACCACACCTCTTTGGAGAATGGATCCATAAATGTGAAAAAAGCTGGTGGGGCCTTTTGTGCCTTTAAATGTAGAATTGCTATGCCTAGTGATGAAATTCATACATACATACATATGTATGTTTGTATATAGTATAACCAGTTCTTAATTTTAACTTTTTATAGAATTTAACATAAATAAAATCTAACCCAAATTCATGAACGGTATGGAGAAGTCGACCACTTGCTGGCGTGCTGCTGTAATTGTTAAATCCGTGATTGCCAAATCCGCGCGCTGAAAATAGATGTAGTAAGAAGAGCTAAAATTAGAACTCCGGAGCAAGCTTTTCAGGCATTGCGGGGTTTGAAGTTGTCACAGGCACTTGACGTTCCTTAGCGAAACAGCGTAATATGATTCATATAAAAGCTGCGGCAAAAAATAATTGCTGCCATATTGATGAAATGTGATGTATTTCCCACCTTCACTTAGTAAAGGAGAAATATGAACTATGGGTACGGTGACCATCCGTTCTGTTTTTTGCAGGACCGTACTGTTATTCAAAGGTCTGTCCTGCGTGGTTTTTCGAAACAGAAAAACCTCAAAATGTACTGATTTTTTCCAGGTGTCCTGCCCTTGTCCCGCATTTTATTCGATATTTTAAAATAAAAAGCGGGAGTCCTTTACTTATCAACATATAAGCAATGTCGATAACTGATTGATAACTACATGAGGATGAGGCTGATTTTGAAGCTTCAACAAGTCAATGCGTTCTAAATTTTTTAAGGCCATAGACAATGGGAGACTACAAAATGAGCACCAGCTTTAAAAATCCCAGTAACACTGCTTTAAAATTTTTGATTTATCGCTTGAACCGAAGAAAGAAACGTTTTCTAAGCTAATTTTGGTTCGCTTAACACGTCAACAATACGCAATTTTCTTTTCAAAGAAGCGTTTTCGAGATTTTTTCGAAAAACCAGTTTTTTTGTATTTTTCGGAGCTATTCGTCAATATTAATCAACGTAATGGCCCAACAGTTCGAAAGTTATCGATGTGCCTCTTAGAAAAACATTTAGCCTGTGCCGATTTCAATGAAAAGTGTTACAAATGACCAAGTCGAAAAAAGTGAAATTTGCGATAATTTGTGAAAATTTCACACTTTTAGTTGATTCTATTTTACATTATTTTTAAAATTCGATATAAAAGTGAAATAAATACAGTAAACTTTGAGCCTAAGTAATGAAAAAGAGATATTCACGAATAACGTTTTTTGTGAATATCTCGAAAACGCTTCTTTGAAGAAATGGGTATTGTTTTCGTGTTCAACAACCCAAAGTTTGCCTAGAAAATACCATTTTACAGAGGTTCATTTCTCGTGTAAACTAGTGTAATTACAATATGTTGTATTATAATTTTACAAATATTCATTAAAAAAGATTAATACCAATGAAGAAAATGTGATTTATATTCAAAGTTTACATACATTCATATGTATTTACATACGTAGTATAAAAATAACAAAGAAAAAAATATATATTTTTTTTAATTATTAATCCAATTTCTATACTTGTATCGTCAACTGAAATGCAAAAGCGTAACAAACATCATCGTTGAAATGCTAAAAGTCATAACTAATAAAAAATTCAAAACGCACTTTTTGATTTATATGATGGTTTTCATCAAATTACATCATTTTATGAAAAAAAAATTAAAATATTAGGCACGACTTTTTCCCTTTCATTTACGATGTTATTACGTTTTGTTGCATTTCAGGTGACGATATGTATTTAGGTATATTTTTTCAAAAGTTGTCCTGCATTTCCAATTTTTATGGTCACCGTAACTATGGGACAAACATGGTAGGAAATAATAAATGTTATCCGATTTTGATGAAATTTGGTTTTCGCAATTTTTTTTTGGACCCAAAAGCATATATAACTTATCAGGAACAGATATTAAGAACTTTATTATTATCGATGACCAAAAAATGATGTGGCTGTGAGCCATAAAGGTTTCAGAATCACAGAAGGAAAAACTGATACACAATTTGTATCGATCTTGAAGGTAAAAGTATTGTTGAAAATAAATTTTTTTTTAAGAACTTACAGTTAAAAAAAGTAATCTTGTAACAATGATTAATAATAATAGTAGTCTATTATTACTAGTATATTTTTTTTGTAACTTAAGCGGTTGAACCCACAAACCCTGAAAGGTTTGGAATAGAGATGGACGCGGTATATCGGGACCAACGGTACTAATTTAAAATGGCTGGGAAGGGCGGTATCGAGAAGCTCTATAAAAATTGTCTACTGTTATATAGAGACAAAAACTAACGGCAGGCAAAATAGAATATTCAAGTATATGTATTATATAAAATGAATTTCAAAGTCAAAGTCGGGAGATCCACGGGACCCGCGGCATATATCCGAAAAACGTCCGGCGGGTGGGATCGGGATTGAATATTTACTCCCGCGTCCATCTTTAATTTGGAGGGATCTTAATTAAAATAGTTTATTTCATGGAGTTGGGAACTTACACCCATAATAATTTCTTTTAACATTCCTGATGTTGTATTTGTAGTAGCATTGTATGATCCATAGTCGTTGCCACCGTTCTTCAAAATAAAATCAAAGCCTAGTTTATCAGCGAGTTCTTTAATAAGATCGACGCCATAGCCTTCATATTGGCTGTTGCCTTCCAGTTTTTCATAGCTCTCCACAAGACTTGCATATGGTTTGTTCTAGTTTCGGTTGGAAAAAGAGAAGGTGTCAATGTTCATACATACGTAAAAATAAATAAGTACTTATGTACATACATATACATATAGTCAATATCTATACTGAGGGAAGTAAGTTCCCATTTTCAAAAGGATATCGTACGCGATTTTTTAGTATTGATACTCGAAAGGCTTTATATAACAACTGATTCCATGAGAATGATCTGGAGCATTATCATGGGGTTTGGAAGCACTGAGTTTAGACAACACTTTTCTACAAAATTATACATTTAAGTAATACAAAATGCATCAAAACAAGTAGACTACATCCAAATAGAATCAGATCTCATCAGATTAATAAAAATACCTAGTTTCTTTAAAAAATCTATGTTTAAAATTTTGTACCACAATACTAATCTATTGGATTTTAGCTTTAGAGATTATTTTGATTTAATTAATTTTTTATTTACTTATACAAATTTATTTTAAAAATTGCCAATGCGTAAAAACTTAGAAACCGAATGTTGCCATTTCGCAGCTTGTGAAATTGTATAGTGTTTTTGGGTTCAGTATTCAATTAACCAAAAGGAAAGTCATGCTACAATAATCGAAAAAAAAGATTATTATTGATTTGTTTGTAGTTTTATGTCATTAATTTCCTAGCCGATGTTAATAAGGGGCTACAATGTCACCTTGGAGTAGACAGTGCTTTTGGTTTTAGTTATATGTAGTTGCATTCGAAATCTATTTTTTGTTTGCACATATCCCAGTGGTCGAAATATTGAATAAGGTGACTAAAACATAAAGGTGTCATTGGAGCTGATTACGATTCTAGTTAGATGCAAAATATTCAAATTTAAAATGGCAAATCTAATATGGAGGAAGCCATACGAAGACATTCTGAGGAAGTTTAAAAGTGAGATTCGACGGCCAAAAAAAGCAGCATGGGAGAGCCATTGCCAATCGTTGGAGAGTATAAAGGACACCGCCAGGCTGAGTAGGCTTTTGGCGAAGGACTACTTGTCTCTACAGAGTCTGTGGAAGACTTACTCAGGTTGCTTGTTAACACCCATTTTCCGGGTAATTCTGAATAAGTGTTCAATCCGTGGTTTTCATCCCAAAACCTGGTAGGCGAGGGCACGCCTACGTCAAAGATTTTCGACCAATTAGCTTAAATTCTTTTGGTCTCGAAACTTTCCAGAGTGGTCTAGACGCGCACATTCGGCGGTTTTTCCACGGTGATGACATGTTGGTAGCACTGCGTACATATTTACAAGTACGATCCACTGAAACGACGCTTCATGAAGTCGTTAGAACAGTCGAGAGGTCTCTTGAATTTAAGCAATATACTCTGGCAGCCTTCTTTGACATTGACGGATTCTTTAACAATGTTCGGTAGCAGCTATCCAAAATTCCTGGAGGAGCTCGACGTCCAGGAGTCTATAAGCGCATGGCTAAGGACGATGCTTCGCAGCAAAACGATTTCAGCTGAATTTGGAAACTACACATTAACAAGTAATTTTTAGCAAAAAAAAACCGACTTAAAAAAATATATATATATATCTATATATTTCATGATCCAATGATCGGATCTAAACCAAATTAGTATTGGACCACCTCTGAGACACTACCTTTCCGTTGCAAAATTGGAATTATTGAAATCGGTGGACGTGGTGCAAAGTTATGCGGTAACATACATAAAAACAAAAAAAAAAAAAAAAAAAAACATATTCCGACGAACTGATAACCTCCTCCTTTTTGGGAAGTCGGTTAAAAAGGAGCGTTAGTAGGGGCACTCCTTAAGGTGGAGTGATCTCTCCTATTTTATGGCTTAGCACCATGAACTCAGTACTACTCAAGTTTAACCAGGGGGAGTAAAAGTAATGGCCTAAGCTGACGATTTAGTAATTTTAATAACCAGGTTATTCCCATCTGTGCTGAGTAACATAATGGATTGAACTTTAGCAGAGGTACGCGAATGGGCCGAGCAATGTGGCCTTAGAGTAAACCCTGAAAAAACAGAATTAATGCTCTTTACGGTCAGGACCAAGGTCCCTAGCTTTGAATTATCAAATCTGAGTGGACAAAGCAATGATCATCTAAACAAGCGAAGTATCTGGAAGTCAAAATGGATTCTAAGCTAAGTTGGAAAATAAATCTTGAAGAGATAGTAAAGAAAGCGAGCATTGCCTATACTGCTCCTGTAAGCGGCTTTTTGGGAAGATATGGGGTCTCAATCCAAAACTGATACTCTGGATCTACACGGTGGTTGTATCCGATCTTATGCTACGGTTCTCTAGTATGGTGGACAGTTATGAAGAACCAGTATAATCATGTAAAACTAGGCAGAGCGCAGAGGGATGTATGCATCGAAATCATAGGGGCAATGAGAACTTTCCTATTTCCTATAGGACTCCACATAAGGCACACCGCATCTCTATCGGTTTTATAACTCAGAGAACTGGGTGTATGGTAAGAAAGAACAATCGAGGGCATAGCAGTATATGTAATTTCTCGATTGTCATCAGAGTTGAGACTGGCTACTGATTATATACGACCTGCCAAATCCGTCGAGAGCCGACTGAGTTGGGGAACTTGATATCTCTACCTGGATACATCATCTGTACACCGATGCCTCCAAAATGGAACGCGGAGTTGGAGTACGTATTTACTCTAAATCTTTGGGAGTAAAAATATCAATTCATCTTCTCGGCTTTGCAGGGGTTTTCCAGGCATATATATACGCTATAGTCGAAGGCTGCCGTCTCTTAGAACTTAGTCGTTTACGTCACGGCGAGCGCGCAGTCTTTTTCTCAGATAACCAGGCGTTCATTAAGGCCTTGGCGTCTTTTGCAACAAGGTCACAACTATTCAAGGAGTGTAGGACACTTTTAAATTCAGTAAGTAGTCAACTCAATTTAGATTTAATTTGGGTCCCTGGTCATAGCAATATTCCCAGTGTCGATATGGTGGACGGGATCTCACCCCCGATTGGAACCTTATATAGAGATATCTTTTTACACAATCTTTAGAAATCGTATCAAAGGTGGCGCACGGCGGCAGGCTGCCGTATAACTCATGTGAATATGATAATTGTATACTGATTTTTCAAAGTATGGCATGCCATGATCCTCTGTAGCATGCGCCACTAAGGGTGAGAGTATATAAGCCAAACTACAATTTCAACAAAAATTAAATTCATTCCTTATCCCGCTTCTATCCCCAGCAAGGTGTATGAAAATAGTTCGTTAGGATAAAATGTTCCGACTTCTTCCCTCTTTATTGGCGTTTAACCGCCTAAGTGACTTTGACCGAGTCCAAAAGAGCACGCCAGTGGTTTCTTTTCTGTGCCAACCGACGCCGGTACGAAATGCTAGGTGAAACCAACTTCTTCTCCATCTGGTATTACCAACGCAGTGTATGCAATTTTTTTAATCTGTTACCACCATCGCGACCCGCGTAGAATACTTTCTGAACAGGAGCGTCACAACATGACAAAGCCAGCGTAGCAGCTCTATTCTAACTCGCCCTATGTATATACCGTTGTTAAGTTCCTACAGCTCATCGTTCCTCGTCTGCGGTACTCGCCATCGCCAACGCGCAAAGGTCCGTAAATATTTCTCTCGAAAAATCCAAAAGCCGCCTTATCAGATGTTTCAATTTTCCATGCTTCCGCGCCATACACCAGCACGGGCATGATGACCCAGCCAGAAAAAGTCCGAAAACCGATCCGAAAAAGAATGGATTTTTGTCCGTTTACCGATTTAATTTTCGGATACTTTGACGTTTCCCCCCTAAAGTGTGCGGCAGAACTACCGAAAATTGTTTGTGTAACGGATATTTTTTCGGCTGATTTTTCTGAAATTTGCTGATTGAAATTTTCGTTTAATACGCTTTTCTTCTGCACTTCATAGACACTTTTTCATGGTTAAAAAAAAAAAAATAAAATTAGGAACCGCCTGACGGAATTCGAACCCGGCACCTTCTGGAAGCTAACAAATACCGAAACGCTCCTCTACACGCTCAGCCACTACCGACTGCGCATGCATGCTGCTTTCAAATGTTTAGCTTGAACAAATAATTCAATTATTGATTTCAAATGACATCCAATATACAATACTTTCATTGACGTTTATAGTAAGATCAACTACGATTCTATTTGATTTTAATATTTTTTTTTGAAAGCAGTTTAAATGCTGTTCCGCCCAGCCAAAATATTTTCATTGGCGTCATTAATAAATAAACGTTGCTTTAAATGAACCACCAAATTCTAACTGAATGTATGGGATCAGGGCTGCCAACTAGGCTCAAACCGTGCAATTTTTGGCCGTACTTTACTTCTAATGGCACTTAATTTTTCGATTTGGCACAAAGTGCCAAAATGACACCTTTTAAAAATACAATACACTTTTGTGAAATCCTTTGCTTGTTCTTCTTTTTCTGAACTAAAATCTTCTAATTTCTATAGTGTATACAACTGGTTTATCTTATTTTGGAATTGGACTTTTGTTTTATGAATGTGTTTCTGGCTTTAATGCTCAATGGGAAGATTAAAAAAGAATGACACCTTTTTTGGCACTTTTATTTTTCTATTTGGCACATTTTGGCACTTTTTTATCCTCTATATAGCACTTCATACNTTGGCACTTTTATTTTTCTATTTGGCACATTTTGGCACTTTTTTTATCCTTTATTATGGCACTTCATAGCTAAGGATAGTTGCAGCCCTGTATGGGATAATAATATTGTTGTCTTTGTTACATTTAAACCATCTCTTTAATGCTATATTCTTTTATGTCTGTAATATTAATTTATCCATTTACCGGAACATTTAACAATACGATGAATGTTTTATTTGCAAGTGAATTATCAACGTTCTCTACAACAGAGTTTGTTTGTGGCACACGTTGAATGGTAAGATTTGAAATTTCATCCCAAGTTCCAATTTTCAAAATTCCAGACGGATGCAATTCAATCACATCTAAAGCATAGCCCTTGCGTATATTTCCTTCAAAGTAAATTTTACCTGTTATGGTCCTTTCCTTCAGATTGAGCTGTCACAAAAAGAATAAGAAGTAATTAATTCAATAAAGGTACGTAAGCATAGTTATAGTTAGTTATGTATGTGTTATAAATACATACATTGTACTTGTATGTACATTAGGGTGGTCCAAAAATGCATGTGAAAAATAAAGTCGGAGTTTTTATGCTTTAGGATTGTTCTATACCGAAAAAAATATATTCCATATTTTTTTTTTTTGAAATCAAAAATAGTTAGAGGTCGCTCAAAGCGCCCAAAGTTTTGCATGTATTTTTTATGGGGAAAAACAGTTTTTCCTAGAAATGGTATAGAATTCTCCGTTGTTGGTTGTGGTTGAAACTTAATAAACTCCTGCTTTTCGTGACTCGGCGCATAAATTAAAAATATCGTGCGGATGGACGGGAATGGAGGGTAAAACCGTTGGGATTATTATTACTAATCTGAGATTTTTTCCTGATAAAAGTGATAATGAGTGGAAAAAAGTTTTTTTTTGTGTTTCTGTATAATAAAAATGATACAAAGATACATTAATTTTTGGTTATTTTGTACAGAGCTTGGCATGAAAATTTGCATGATGATGGATATTTCTTACTGTATTTTAATTATTTTATATTATGTATTCATGCAAGGATTTTTTTTTTTAACATTTTTCCTTGAATCTAGAGCTTGAATTATATTATCCTGATTTATTTAACAAAATAAAAATCATGCCAGGAAGGGTTAAGCGAGAGCTTCAATGCAATTAATCGTTAACACGCAAAAGTTATCGCGAAGTCAGATTCTAAATTCTCTGACAGTTCCTTTTTTCCCCTATTCGGCTTTGCTTACTTGTACTTGAGAAATGTCAATACCGCCGGAATTGCGTAATTTGATATTCTATAATTCTTGGGTGGCAACGACAATGCTACCGCAACTTTAATCCTGTCAAATCATATATTTTTACAGTTTTACATAACTGAAGCACGTCTTTTTATCGAATAATTTAATATTGTTAAAAAATTTACTGATTTTACGGATTGTTTTATCCTCCTATTCGGCTTTGCTTGCTTTTACTTGAGAAATGTCATCGCCGACCGGATGGCGCAAACTTGTATCATGTATTATGGAACGAATTTCCGTCATCCCTTGTCATATTCGTTCCATAATACATCATACACCCACCCTGTCGGAAACAACAACAACCAAAAAGCAAACTTGTATCATTTGTATCATTTTTGACTTTTCAAGAGTAAATATATAAAGACAGATTAGTTTTAGTGGACTGATGGACAAGTAAGAAAGCTAAATTAATTTGAAGTGCAATAAATTTGTGGTCTGAGAACACACTTGACCACGCTCAAAATTTATTGGGCTACAAAACTGCATATTCAAAAAAGTTCTAAAAATCTGATTAAAAAATTGAAAATTTGCATAAAAGTTTATTTTCCTGAGTTTTTAACGGTTTAGAAATTATATTTTTATGTCTTTGAACTATTCTATGAACTATATTTTTATAAAAAATAGCAAAAAAATTAAAATAAAAAATATTGTATATCAAAAATATATTTTTTAATCCAGTGAAATTAATTAATGTTTACAACTTTTTCTTTCTTTATTGAAAAACTAGCCGGTCACGCACGCATACATATCTTTGCTGCAGCTATGGTGATTGCCGCTGACTTGCGACAACAAAAACAAAATTACTTAAATTCAGCTGTCTAAATGCACAATTTTGCCGTTCGTCAGGGTAAAATTTTAATCTGTATTTGTCCAGTTTAATTAAAATTAACTCAGTTCGTCTGTATACCATTTTATTTTGAGTAAATATATGCATATGTATGATATTTCTGCAAGCACATATGTACACTCCGCTTCACTTGAATAGGTACACTTTTTTCCTCAGATCTAAGCTTATATCTGAAGAAAACGCCTCTATTATTTGGTTTTATTCCACGTTTTATCAAACTACACGAAAATTATGCTTATTATTTTGATTCACTTGAATACGCCCAGTGGCTTTAACACAAGGAAAGGACTAGATTGAACCAAAAAAAAAAACATATCATTAATTTTAATTTCACTATGTATATAAATTGTCGCTTAAAGTACAAAACCGCGTATCCGTCATTCTGCAAAGCCGCGTAACTGGCATTAGCTGCCAAAAATTGGATTTGCTCACACAGGCTCTTGGCTCAATCCTTATCCCTTCGTCCTGAAATATACTGGCCAGGTATGCGATTGCTTTATAAAAAAGAGAACTATTTTGAAATATGAGTGTATTTACTCTCTAGAAGACAATTTACCAGGGACGGTTATCATTATGAGTAAAATAATTTAAATCAGCATTTAATCATTATTTTATGAGTTTATAATAATTATTATTGATTTTTATTTTTTTGCTCAGCGGAAATAAATAAAAATCAAGTAATAATAATTACTTTTGAGCGAAAAATTAAAACTCAAAAATAAATTATTATTTTTAATCTTTTATTGGTTAAACTCTAAAAATAAAAATCATTGTAAATTACAGTGGGACGTACGAAAAAAAATACTTGGGTATAAATAAAATTGTTTTACGACGATTACAACTTGTTAATTTTTTTGGGTAACATTTAAAAAATAATGATTATTTTCCGTCCCTGTAATTTACATAATTCACATACGCGGTTTTGCATTTTGTTGATACGCGGTTTTGTACTTTAAACGACGATATAATTCTAAAGGCACTTTGAAGCATCAAGAAAGAACAACTGCCAATCATCACATGGATTGTCTGATGCAAGCTGCGCAAAACATCTAATTCTTTATAGGACGAACTCTGAAAAAAATACGACTTTGCTACGTTATCCTCGTTTCTCTAGCTCCTATGGTGCGAATCGGTGCATATTCAAGAACAAGGTGCAAATGATGAACAAATGTCGTTAATACTTGTTTTGCATCAGTTATACGTAATTTTGGAAACTTGAAATATTATCTCAACGGATCTGGACTACGAGTTGTATAAAATTCCAGTCACGATTCTTTACGTTGTATAGACAAATTGATGACCTTTTTTTACATTTTCTAAACACAAGACACAGAGTAATCCGTAGTTCCTTTGTGGTGTCATTAACACCAACGTTTTTTGTTCGTTTTGGTCCACTATCTCGAAAATAAGATGCTGACCTCGTAAAGGGCTTTTGTTATTTCCGTCTAGCTTTTATGTTCTGGCCGCATTTCATGCAATGCTATGAGCCGGATTCAGCTGTCATAAACATTTGCATGCCCTTCAGTTTTATTTCCAACATATAGCTTACAAAGTCCTGGTACCGTGAAGGCTCTGTTTATGAATTTTCTTTAGTTATAAGTTCCTTGTTCCCATTCAAATGAATCAAATGAATAATCATAATTTTTGTGTAGTTTGATAAAAAGTGGAATAAAATCCAAAGGAATCAAGGTGTTTTCTTCATAATCACCACTCTTCTTCGAAATTAATCATTCTTCAAAATTAGATCAAAAATAATTTTCTCTGATGCCCACAAGTCCACATATACGCTTGGATCTTGAGGAAAATATGTGTACCTATTCAAGTGAAGCGCGGTGTATGATTAATGCCCCAATAGGCAAAATTTGGAGAATTTGTTGGCTTTTGATTTTGTTTAAAAACTTTCTACTTGTTTTTTTTTTACTGAAACTTTTTCAAAATATTTATGTGCTTATATATAATTTGTTTTTGGTTTTTGTTATTTAATAGAGTACTTTTTTACATATGAAAGTGCACTTTGTTTATCTAAAAATATTTGGACTAATGTAGGCGCGCTGTCAAAGTCAGCACTTGTGAGTGAAATGTTGTGGTCGATTGCAGAATTATAGAAATCGGTTAACGTGTACCACGGTTATGCGGTAACATACATAAAAAAAAAATATTCCACTGAATTGATAACCTCCTCCTTTTTTTGAAGTCGGTTAAAAATAAAACTTGTTAGCTGATTTTGTTTTTAATGGATAATGTATCATTGTAAGTTAGTTATTTAAATCATAAAAATGCGATTTTTTGCAGGTAATCTTGATATTGCCAGTGTGGAAGGATTTACTGTTTGGAGGGAAGAAGCCAATAACAGCCCAACCTCATATAAACAAAGGCTGTCTAAATTAATTTTCTGTGTCATCCGAAATTGGCTTCGTATTGCTTTTGCTAAGAAAAACACCATATCGGATCTCACGCAGAAAACAATTGGAAACTGAATTAGCTTTTTAAGCGCACTGCCAGGTTTTTAAATTAAATTATTATTTATGTGCATATCCTATTAAATTAAATAGCATATTTTTCTTTCATACGAATGTTAAAAAAAACTGCATTAAAACCTTTGGTAAAAAACGCAAATTACAAAGTTTCCCCTTTAAACCGCTACGGTTGGATATTCGGCATCATGAATAAAAATTAGCTCAAGTACCGACTCGATTTTCAGTACAAATTCCTGAGCTTGAACTCACTTGATGGAGAACTATCGACAGCCCTATCGATGGTTTCATTTTTCGAATTTTTCTAAACACTATCGACAGTTGTAAATTGTTCACATTGTTCGAATTGGACTATAAAAGATACGTATATGTTGTGACCTACTGTGTTTGTTAACATGTTACTAGTGGCTTTCGTTATAAAGTGTGTTATTGAAGTACACGATCTCGTTTGGTTTTTCACAAGTTATGTATATGTGCCAACTTTTTGTTTATTCAAATAATTTGTATGGTTTTTCTAAGTTTTTTTCTGAAACTTGAACTTGAACTACTTGTTTAATAAAAAGTTCCTCAAACACAAGATGCGCTCAACTTTTAAAAGTGATAAAAAATTTTAAATAAAATAATGCAAAAAAAATAATTTTTTTAAAGAAGCTTTTATTTAACATGTATGTATAATCAAAAGAATAAAGTAAAATAGTGTAACAAAAGATTTTTTAGCAAGAAAATTTTGTTAAAACTGCACCAAAATGAATAAAATATAATAAGTTAAGCTTTCATTAGAGCTTCCCTTTCACTATTTGGCTTTTAGTAATTTTAACGAAAGCTTTACTTATTTGGTTTTATTCATTTTATTGCAGGTTTAACAAATTCCACTTACTTTTTTCCCAACAGTATTTTTCTTCCACATGGTGCATATACTTATTTTCAGTTTTCTTCATGACTTCGGTAATTAACGATTTTTCTGCAAAAGAATTATGTGGTGACGAGCCTATAACTGTTATCTTAATTATATCCCACGAATTGAAAAAAAATATGAGAACAAAAGTTTGTTTTGAAATTTTTGTAATTTTGCAATTCTTGAATGTAAATATTTCGCAAAAATAAGCTGATACGATTTTAGTGCAAATGGATTTCGGTTAGGTAGGTGATAACGAACAAAGTTGCATTTTCAATTTTTGTCGTACGTTTTAGTGGACTTTTAACTAATTCAGGAACAGTGTGATAAAGCCAAATTTCAGACTTTGTAAAAAAATTATGAAAATTCTGCAAAGTTTGACCAATATATCTAACTTCTTTATCAGCATGTTTAGGCAAAATTTTGGTATTAAAGTTTGTAGCCCATCAAATTTTAGTATAACAAAGTGCAAATTTTAAGTATCTAGGCCGCTGATTTTTCGCATTTTTGTAGTTGACGGTGCTACGCATTTTTGTTTTCATATAAAAAAGTTACACAGCTGATTTAAAAAAGGAATTTGCATATTAACAGAATAAAAAATGATTCAATAAATTAAAGTGGTGTCAGATAATAAAAAATCAAAGAAAAATACCGTTCTCATATAATTTTTGAATGTGGAGCCATCATCTAGAACGCTTTCACTCCGATCACTGCAGTTTAAAGGTGCGGTTTGCACCGTTAAATATTTCGTAGTTTCCGCAAATAGTTGAACAGAGTCGTAAATCAAAGCCATGGAAAGTGTTATGGGACAGGATCCTAAAATTAAGAGAATTTGATTAGTGTCAATGTTGAAGGCACCGTGGCCGAGTGGTTAGAGGTGCGTACTTTTACCTGGCAGAACCCTAGCTCGATTCCGAGCAACATTTAAAAAGGTTTTTTTTCTTGAAGCAGTCGTTCTTCGACAGTAAGTAAAAAAACCTTGAGTGTATATCAGCCAATAAAAACGTCATGTAACTTATGTATAATTAAACCACTTTCAAAATAGGAACCCTCTTAAAAATTAATTTCGAACTAAAATTTGTTATAAATATTTCATATAACTGATGAATTAAGTGGAAATTTATTTTTTAAACACGTGGCAATCCTCCTAATATAGTTCTTAAATAAAGGATTTTAAGCCCATTTCCATTGATAACCAACGTTTAGTAATTCATTTAACTTATTAAATAATTTTAGTTTAGCCCTTTAAACTTAAACTTTAATCTTTTTTTTTTACATGTGGCAACCCTCCTATACGTAGTTAATTTATAAAGCCTTTTCTAAACCATTTCAATTGATACCATTATTTAATAATTGATTTAACTTGTTAATTAATTTGCGCTTAATTTCTTAACCGGTGGAAACTTTTTTTCGACAAACACTTGACCAAAATCTGAGCGCTGTAAGTTTGTGTTTTAACGCTTATTTCATAATGAAAACGTATACACATTACTATAAATAACGCTCTTATCTATACTTTCTTTCGCAGAATAATACTTTATTTGAATTCCAAAAATGAATGCTGCGGCCTTTTCCAAAATACTGCATTTATACTTTATTTGCCGTCTAAATTTTTTGTTACACAGTGTTCGCGGAAACACGTTTAAAATGCATATGTATACTATTATGTAAACAAATAGGGACACGATATCTTGACCAGCTTTGATTATTTTCGTTTCGGTTTTTTAATGTTTAATAATTTTTTATTAAAGTTTAGTTAATTATAGTTAATACCATATAAATCCACATTCGAAACTTTGTAGGGAAATACATAAAACAAAAATGCCACAACAAAAAACTTTGTATTCATAATTTTTAGAAATTTTCCAATTATGTAGTTCTGTAGCTTATTATGGCGCAAGTTTCAATGGGCTAAGAATTCGCGTTGATATTTGTTTATTTTTTTGCAGACGGCAAAAAAGGAATCAAAATTAAACAGTATTCTTTAGACACTTCAAACTAGAATAAGCCACTTTTTTGAATTCTTATTTTTGTACAAAGTGAGAAATTTGGATTTACATGGCTTTTGTTAGACATATCATTTTGTCTCGGGGCGTACAATAAAGGAATACCTGGTATTAAGTGTACCCTAATAGGAATTCCTTTATTTTATTGGGAAACTGTTTCTGTAATGTACTGTAAAAAATCCTTTTATTTTTAAATGGAGATAATGCGAAACGGGATTTTCGCGCAGTCGGCCGCTGTGGTGTGGTGGTAAGCAGTGCGCGCTTTCACTCATCAACACCTGGGTGCAAGCCCTGGTCAAAGCAACATCGCAAAAAATATAGAAAAAGGTTTTTTCTTAACAGCGGTCGTCCCTCGGCAGGCAATGGCAAACCTCCGAGTGTATTTCTGCCGGGAAAAACAGCTTCTCATAAAAATACAATCGCCGTTCGGAGTCGGCGTAAAACTGTAGGTCCCTCCGCTTTGTGTGACAACATCAAGGCGCACACCACAAGTCGGAGGAGAAGCTCGGCCAATCACTAACATATGTGTAAGCGCCAATGTATTACTATTATTATTATTAATATTCTGTTTTTTATCCGAAAAAAGAAACGAGCGTTAACTATACATCTCGAGCGTTTACGAGATACAAGCTTCGATTAGCAGGGAAGCAGACAGATAATAGAGAACAAAATTCGCCAACTATCGATTTTTGTACGGGCTATCCGATTGTAATATGAGTTTTCCAGAATTCTCCCATTTCTATGGTGAACATTTAAAAAGAAAATTTAACTTAAATTTTTCACAATGAAGGTAATTTTTAATATTGTTTTAAGTCATCTCAATAGTAAAATGATGTTTTTCAACATAGAAATCAAGAATTTTTTATATTTTCGGGTAATAATATGTTTCAGAGTGCGCGAGACCAGTCGCTAGTGCGCATCAGTATATCGTCGTTTAAAGTGCAAAACCGCGATCAACAAAATGCAAAACCGCGTATCAGCAAAATGCAAAACCGCGTATGTGAAGTTGTAGAAATTATTTTCTAGAGCGTAAAAACACTCATATTTCAAAATGGTTCTCTTTTTTATAAAGCAATCGCATTTCTGGCTAGTATATTTCGGGACGAATGCATAAGGATTGACCCAAGAGCCTGTGTGAGCAAATCCAATTTTTGGCAGCCAATGTCAGTTACGCGGTTTTGCAGAATGACGATACGCGGTTTTGTACTTTAAACGACGATATACACATTTGATGTTGCCTTTTCATGCCTTTTTTAAGATATTTGCCTATTGTACCTTTAAAAAAGTGATTACAGCGAGGAAAAATATGCCTATAAAATGTGACTATAGACAGCCGAATGTCACAAAATAAAGCGAGAAAGCTATTTTATTACTTAATTTATTGTGCCATTCTTCATCCCACCAGCTTGTACCGAGTATACGTTCAAATTTAGAAGTCTGAGAGTAGGTCAAATTTTACATATTTTTGACACTGCCTTATTTGAATAATTGCCAAAAAAATTTTACTATAAGGCAGCCGAATGTCAGAAAATTGAGTGAGAAAGCTGTTTTATTACTTCACCTGTTTATTGCGCCATGGTTCCATGCAAACATTTTAAGGTTTTCCAGCAATGTTTTCAACATATTAAAAAGCATGAAGATAAAATCCATACAAAAGTGCTATGTCTAATTTCTTCTTAAAGACGACTCTTTTCCTATATTTTGCAGATACATAAAAGTAAACTGCACAACACTGAAAAAAACTCAAATTTTAATGAAAATTTGCTTTAACAAACATTCAAAACCAAACGACATGACATTCCAAGAGTACCGAAATATAGAAAAATAACAGCTTATAATAAAAACAAAACAAGTTGAAGTTTGAAAGTTTGGTTCTCACGTGAGCAACGTCAAAATGGCTTCTACCTGTATTTGTGTGCCTTGAATTGTAGTATGCATGTTTTTAGTCCATTAAATTCTAGTAATAAAGTGCAAGTCTCAAGATGCTAAGAATTTTACGATTTTCTTTTACCTTTTTTTGGCGACCGTCGCGATGGTGTTATTATTTTCTTCCATACAAAAAAAAAAAAAATTGACGAACATAATAACTTTGTATGTACATTTCGAGGGCTTATATTCAATGCCCTCTATCTGCATTTTTCACAAAAATGAGATTCTGATATAAAAATCCAACTAAGACTTAACTGTCATCGGTGATATTAATGCTGACATTGTATAACGCATCATCCACTCACCCACAAGGGTACAGAGAGTGGCAGCTAGCCCATGTTTACTATATCTTATAACTCCTTATTCCTAAGTAAAATTACAGCACATGTCAAGTTTCAGCGAAGTCGGTGCACGTTAACTATTATTTTCAGCTAGCTCTATTTAGCCGATACACTGTGCGTTGTCAGCAAAACAAAAAAAAAAGGAAAATCAACGGTAATTTGTAGACTCTTCAACCTAGGGAATCGTCCTGGTGATTTTTAACCGACTTCAAAAGAAAGGAGGAGGTTATCAATTCGTCGGAATAATTTTTTTGTTTTATGTTACTGCATAACTTTGGACCACGTCAACCGATTTAGATGGATGATGAGGAAATTAACGGTACTCCTAAATTTGAAGTTGGTTATGTGTACGGTATGGTTGGATTTACATAGCTTTAGTTAGACCGTATCATTTTGTCGCGAGTTGTACAAAGTTTACGCATATTATCAGGAATTTCTTTTGTTTTATTGAAAAACTGTTTTAAAAAGTTCTGTATGTACCTACTTCAAAAGACGCTTCTTTTGTGAAAAGGATTTTTTTGCAACAATATACAGTTTTTTTGTCTGAAAAAACATGCGAGGGATATTAATGCTCCATTGAAAGGAAATTAGATAAAATTTTTTAAAACCGCCCCCATAATTAAAAAAAATGTTTAAAAAAACGCCATTTGGTTTTTAATAAGTATTAAGAAGCGCTGTTAAATCCTTTTAAATAGTTTGCAATTTATTGTGTAAAAATTTTAAATTCATCTATACACAAACATCTGAGAAATAACGAGTTAAAGTGTAAATCTTGTGAGAATTTTAATTCTGGCAAGCGAACGGAGCGGAAGTGACGCGCCTCACCCTCCCTTTTTTACAAGCTTTTATTATATGTAGCTAGGACATACAAAGTATGTTCGACAATCTCTTTGTATGGTGAAAATGAGCAACACCTTCCATAAAAAGAATGGTCAAAAATTAACGGTAAGTTCTAAACTTTCGCTTTGTTATACTTAAATTGAATGGGCTACCAAACTGCTTACTGAATGTTTCTAAGAAATTAATTAAATTTCCAAATTTTTTCACATAAACCCGTATTAATGGCACGAGTTGGTCCATAATTAGAATATATCTAAAAGCTTTCTTAAATAAATAAAAAAAAACAAAAAATATTACTTACCACCGATCTGTATTTGTAATATTTATCTATATTATAATTACTTTCAATATTTGTAGTAAGATTTAATATTCTATTGTTGTATGTATTTTATTTGTAATTTGTAATTTGTATGAACTTGTTGTACCAGAACGGGCTAAGTCTTATTGTACTAATGTTTTTGAAATAAATGAAATGAAATGAAATGAAATATGAAAAGGAACAACTCCAAAAACAAAGACTCGGATAGCCTATACGAAAATCTATAGAAATCATAGTTGTCGAATTTGTTTTCTTAATTTCTGCCTGCTTCCCAGCTAATCGAAATGTGGCTCGTTTTGCACCACTGAGCGCGACTAAACATTTGACGACCAATATGTGTAATGCCGTAATTATCTACAATTCAACTAATTCGATTCGTGTGGACCGGAAATTGGTTTTAGGTCAATCCATCGCAGAAAGTAGGGTTGAATTATTTTTAAGACAGAAAAACCGATTGATCACGTTCGAAAGGGATGCAATGGAACTAGTGTACAGGGTGTCCGTTATTTGCCAAGTTTGGTTATTTTTCGTGATTTTAAGCTTATCAGCCATGCTCCCATTTTCGGAACCGCAAATATTTTTCGTTTTACTTTTCAAATCGCAAAATTACGTGCTCCAATATTCGCAAACCGGAAAATTTTTGCGGTTTCAAATCGGTTGCCACTGAGACGGTGGAATAAAAATTAAACATAAATAAAAAGCTAGCTTAATTTAAATTTATTTTTTAATATGCCCATTATCCTACAATTAACTTTGTTTGTGGATGTTATTTGTCAATTTACTATTTATTATACACTTCTAATTTTTGGGCAACGAAAATTTGTCGAAGTAACGAAGATTTACGATTTGGTGCATGATACATGTGCAAGGGATGGCTTTTTAGAAGCAAAAAGTTGCGAATTTAGGAGCAACCAAAAAAAAAAAAACACGTACGATTTTTACGAAAACACGAGCAAAACAAGTAAGTGAAAATGGGAGCACGGCTGTATGTTCTAAAACTATGCTTAAAAAAAAATAAATAAATAAGCAACGAACAACGGCTATTAGAAAAATCTACACGTATTCATAATTTACATAAGTGTTATGTGTTATGTTCAGTGTATGCGGTTTCGAGAATGGACCCAACCAAGTAATAGTCACGCACAAGTCTATCCACACGTACGGNTTTTTACGAAAACACGAATCGCAAAAGTAAGTGAAAATGGGAGCACGGCTGTATGTTCTAAAACTATGCTTAAAAAAAAATAAATAAATAAGCAACGAACAACGGCTATTAGAAAAATCTACACGTATTCATAATTTACATAAGTGTTATGTGTTATGTTCAGTGTATGCGGTTTCGAGAATGGACCCAACCAAGTAATAGTCACGCACAAGTCTATCCACACGTACGGCGTACCATGATAAAAACATAGCAAGGTATAACCGTTCTCTCAATTTGTCGGCCATGATTTTTTTTTGAAGTTTGCCAACATTTTAAAATCATATAAAAGTGAAAATAAAAAATTGAAATTGTTCGAAATTGTTGTTGCTTGAGATTGAAAATGAAAATGTGTGTGTGAGTTTGTGAGTAAATTTAAAAATTAAATTGTTTGGAAACGTCAAGAGTCTTAAAAGTGACTCTCAGCGGTTCTACCTTACTATATTTTTATCATGCGGCGTACGCTAATTTTAAAAAAGTATGTAGATTTTTTGTAAACATAGAAGACAATTAATTGATTTATCTGAATTGGAAACTCGAATGACTATCTCGCTCGATTTTATTCCAAGTATTTTTGTTTTCCTAAGGTATAAATTAAAAAATACCTAATATTGAAAAAAGTTAGAAAGCCAATAAGGAGACTGGATATGTTAAAATTTTGTCCTAATGAAATCGGGGCTAAGCTGGTAGATAATGTGTTTGGTCATATATATTTTGTGTGTTATAATTACAAAACAAATGCATTGCCTTTACCATTTCTTAAATTTTCTGGCGTAGAGTCGTAGCCCATCTTTTCCATGATCTCTTGAACTGCGTATTGCTCGGGTGAAAATACTCTAAAGCTTGTTATGTTTGCCTCAGTATATTTAAATTGATCAAGATCGAAAGCTTGAAAATCTAAATTAGCGATAATATATTTATAGTCCTCATTTATGATGCCAACTTGTTGAGCCTGGAATTTGAAAATAAACTTATAAAACAATAGTGGTATTCACCAAATTGAGCACGTGGCCTGGCACTCTGGAAAAAGAGCAGATTAGCTCAAGCAACGACTGTTGGAACGGCTGCCAGGCCACTTGCACAAATAGGATCACTTTTTCAAAGAAAACTAATTTAGATTTTAACGTACATACATATCGCTGATTACTTCAATAGTGACATAACCAGTGATCGGACTTCTACCACATTGTGGTAGATCTACCACTTTTTTGAGCATCCACCACATCTACCACACAAGGTCTGAAATCTACCACATATTCGCATTTTTCAGTAGTAATAATTAAGTTTCACATGATTTTCCTTATTTTTTTTTAATTTTAAGAGCAAAAATTGTCCAACACTAAATACTATGTGATAACAAGTAGGAACACGATATTGAACCGAAAGTATCGATATAATACTCATTTAAAGTATCGCTACCCATTATCGGGTACCCATTAATATAGTAATAAAAAGGCTCGATATTCCAAATATCGAAACAAAATTAAAAAATTTAAATCTGAATATTGGTCTAATTTTCTAATAAAGAATTAACACTTTGCACTTTAATAAGTACATCAATAAAGGCGCTCCACATTGCAACCTAAGATAGTACACACTTCTGCTTTACATATAAATTCCAAAGTAAGTTAGACGGTTATAGTACGACATAGACTTGCAAGAAATGGAAGCATAGCTAGGGCTAAAATTTGTTTAAAAACAATATTAACAACAAAACTTTCAATAGAAATTTTAGTAAGGTAGCGTCATGTCAGATACTTCGGCTGATAAAAAAACAGGACAGATTTTTACATTTTGGAATTTGGAAAATTAGCCTTAAATATTTCAAATATTACTACAAAAAGTTTTATACAAATAGTTTTGCCCAATTCCCAGAGTTTTCAAATTTTGACGTTTTAATTTTATTTTCTAATATTTTGTCATACAAATGTCATGCCACGCCAGATTGGAAATACCCAATACAATATATCATTATTCCCATTAACTTTGTAATGTACATTTACGATTCGATACTATACAAGAGCTCTGGTACTCGATTCTAAAGTTTTCAAAGCGTTGTTTACTTTTACTCGAGAATTGTCAAAATCGGCAAAACCCAATTTAAAAATTTTGCAGTTCTTTTGAATTTTTGTAAAAAGTTTGATCCAAAACCTGAGATCTGCCACATTTTTTCCAAATCTACCACATTTTTTTCCAGAATCTACCACACAGAATTTTCGCTAAGTCCGATCACTGGACATAACTCAAAACAGCAGAACTCCCATAGTAAACAAGAACTGTATATTTTGTTCTAGTGAGATACTGGTAACTGGTACAGCCATGAGGTATGTATGTATTTTTTGGATTATGATACAATTGAGGTAAATAGCGATCTGCAGATATTGACATTGTACTCACCTGCCGTAAAAATTCCGGCATCGTGTCCGATGAGCCGGCAACAACGATACGACTATCACCGGATTTCCTTACACGCATCAACCCAGTTTTATAATTTCCATTTAGTTCCATATCGTAACGTAAAACCGTTATGGTTGGACCATTATTGCCATAGAAAGCCAAGATACCATTAAGTATATCTAAATATTCAACTTGGGGTACACATGGAGAAAATAGGTATATTAATGTAAATACATAACTTTTACACATTCAATATGAAAAGTATTTGGTTACCAGATTCATATAAAAATATAAAACGTGACCATTCATAGGCAGATAGTAAAAAATATAATGCTTTTGATAAGTCTAAAGGATGTGGATATAAGTTAAAAGCCTCTGAATTCTCGTTCATATCTGAAAAGAAATAGGGCACATCTTTGGTATCGCAAATCGTGGACAAATGTTTGGCGGTGTGCCGTGAGGAGGGACCAAAAATTCCCCCCACACCATCCTGAAAAAATGTAAATACATTAAATACAAATAAAAATCTTAATACTATGTATACACATAGTGCCTTTGTTTACCTTTAGAAGTTTACATAATACACCGTAAGCTTGAAAAGAATCGCCATAGTTCATCTCCTCTTTCACAGCTTTTAGAGGAGTCTCTAACTCTGCATTGGCAACCTCAATTGCATGTTCAAAAATTAGACCCATTTGCTCGGTGTATTGGTCAGTTATTAAGCCTATGTAAAATTAAAAATGTAAGCGCATACTTTTCTATTGCATGAATCTGCGACATTTGACAAAACAACCTCTTTCAAAATGACAAATTTTTTAGGACGGCGAAAGCGATGAAATGCTTTCTAGTTACAACAAAAATTTGTTAAAACTGGACACATATCAGTAAATAAGCGTTTTTCAATAAATCTTTTTCATATTAATATCGCCCCTAACAATACTTCTTTAAATAAATATAAAAAATCATCTTAGCCCACACGCGTGGTTTAGTCAAATGTCATTTGACGACTGTATAATAAACAAATTAGTACAGTCGAATGGTAGTTTAAGATTGCAATACAATGCACGAATTTAGTTATACATAGAATTCAAGAGGGGGTTATAAAAAGAAGTTAAATCTGAATTTGCAGTGCTGTGCGAATATTTTTTGCTAAGTTATGCAAAAAAACGTTTTTCTTCATATTTTCCCGAATATCTCGGCTACTATTTGCCGCACGCAAGAGAACGATATATCATTCTGTTTGTAAAGAAATTCCTCATATTTTTTCATACAAACAATTTTTTCGTTAAACAAATAGATAACCAACTATTAAGCAGCAAAGTGGAAAATTTATTTTTTGATGTATGTTTTTCGCAAATTACTCAGTTCCTTCGCATTTTTACACGTAATAGTCCAAATACTTTTTTGAAATAAATATCGATGATCCAATAAGGCAGCCTCTGGCAAAAGGTCTCAATGTAAGGCTCGATTGTACTTTTAGAAATTTGGAAAAAATCTCACTGACCAAATTTTTGGATTTTCGGTCACAGACAGTTGCACATCAATTTATTTTTTAATGCTTAAAACTATTGTTTTAGATTTTGGTGAATATCTCGGAAATTTCACGCGCACTTTTAAGAAAAGAGAGAAATTGACTTCTGCAAAATTTATATAATTTAATTTAATTTTGTTGTAAATTGATTTGCCACATAATGCGTGAAAAATTATTTGTTTATAATATCTTTATTGAGCTTTATACCACGATTGTTTATTAGGAAAAATTGAAAAAGCAACAAAGTCTAAGCGGTAGAAGTTATAGCACTATTTCGGAGATCACCA